TCTTCCCGTCTTGTATACAGAGTTCCTCGGGGCTCTATCCTGGGCCCCCTTCTTTTTACTCTTTATCTGCTCCCATTTGAATTCATTCTTAGGAAGTTTCGGGTCTCTTTTTACTTTTATGCAGCCGATAGTCAGATCTATGTCCCATTGAGACTAAACAAAACTCTGTTGAATCTTTTTTATCAAGTCCAGCCCCTTTCAGCTGTGGCAGCTGGCCAAAAATAAAGTCAATGCTGAGCAAATCACACTTTGAGACAGTGATTCACACCATTGTGATCACTCTCCTGGGCTCTTGTAATGTAATTCATTTTGGTGTTAGTGGATCTTTAAATGCCCATCTGCAGTTCAAAATGCTGCTGCATGAATTTTATTGTGTTTATGTTTTAATACTTTACATGGCCTTGCCCCACCATATAGCTAATATTTCTTACACCCTTATGTACTGCTTTCTCATAGGTCAGTTGCTCCTGTCAGTACCTGGAACAAGGCATAAGCTCAGAGGTGAACAGGCCTTCTCTATAGCCAGTCCTAGTTTCTGCAATTGTTTGTTGCTGCATATCAGACAGGCTTCCACTTTAATTATTTTTAAATCTCTTCAAGTCTCATCTTTTATCTCTGGCATTCAGTAAAGGATGTTGGTGTCAGTTGATTTTATGTTTTCTCTTTTATGTTTTCCATATTGTTAATTTTTTTATATTGTTTCATTAATCTTTAGAGCATTTAATGATTTCTGTATTTCTGCTTTTGAGCAGTACTTTAATAGTTTAACCCTGATAAAGTATGATATTAATAAAGCTGGATTGAATTGGATCTGAATAAACACACTGCAAATAATGTTAATCTATGTAAGTCCTTTCTTCTTTTTTCTTACCTGCTTATCTTAATTTAAGCAGGTAAGTGAGACTCTGCGAATGGAATAAGACACTATATACATTTGAAATAAGAGAAAGAACTGCATTGTCTTATTTCAAGTCTATAATATCTAATTATCTTATTTCAATCTGAAAAACTCACAGAGAGAGAAAGATGCAATTAGAAGAGTTTTATTGATACAATAGTTTGAACTTTGGCGCTCAGGCCACGGCAGGAAACATAAACGCTGATTTATACTTTAATGAAAGTATGGATATTTCCCCCGGGCCTGAAACTGGTGGTGGAGTTTAGATAGATGAAGTTGGTTAATCCATAGGGGCTGGTACGCAAGGTGATGCTTGAGTTAGATGTCACTGAATGAACAAAGTTTGCATAAACTGTCCATTAACTGTCCATGAAGAGCAAGCATGAAGCGACTGTGGAGAGAAAAAACTCCCCTTTGGGAAGAAATCTCTGGCAGAACCAGGCTCAACATGGCTGTCTTCTGCCGGACTGTTTAAAGTGACAGGGAACTCCATGAAAGTCTGGAGGGATTGCACACTGGAGGTGAGGTTAAAGGAGCATCGAGTAGGGGTCGGATGAGCTTACTACAATGGTGGAGAAGGGGATGGAGGTGGGTTGTCTGAATCAAAGTCCGACGTAGGAGCGATGGATCTTGCGCTTGTTGAAGAGCAGGCCTAGAGATGATTTGGAGTAGCTTTTAAGGTGAGTGCTGGAAGATGATTGGGCATCGAGGAGATGTAGCCTGAAGCGGATTGGCTGCGTTGGAGGCGGATCAGGGAGCATAGCAGGGAGCATGGCAGGGAAGACACGGGGAGCATGGCAGGGAACAAGGCCGGGGACCACAGGGAGCATAGCAGGGAGCATGGCAGGGAAGACAAAGGGAGCATGGCAGGGAACAAGGCCGGGGACCACAGGGAGCATGGCAGGGAAGACACAGGGAGCATGGCAGGGAACAAGGCCGGGGACCACAGGGAGCATAGCAGGGAGCATGGCAGGGAGCATGGCAGGGAAGACACAGGGAGCATGGCAGGGAACAAGGCCGGGGACCACAGGGAGCATAGCAGGGAGCATGGCAGGGAAGACACAGGGAGCATGGCAGGGAACACACAGGGAGCATGGCAGGCAGGTAATGTGGCAGGGATCACACGGGGAGCATGGCAGGGAGTGTGGCAGGGCGCATGGCAGGGAACATGACTAACGGGGAGCATAGCGGAAGGCATGGCAGAATGCAAGGCGGGGAATGAAGCAGGTAACATGGCAGGGAACACACAGGGAGCATAGCAGGGTGCGTGGCAGGGAGCAATGATTTAGCAAAGATGAGAATACATTTTAAACCACCACCAGTATTTGAAGTTAGTTTACCTTATAGACAGAGAGAGTGTTGAGCTGCTAAGATTGAAGAGTGTTCAGGGCGGATATGAGGTATAGGCTGTAGAAGTCCATCGGCCCAACTGCTGGAGAGAAGCTACGGAGACTCCACGAGCGGCTGCTGTTGTGGCTGCCCCTATCCTAAATAAGTGGCTGGAATAATGACTGGATGAAAAGCCACAGGATTCTAATAGTATTCTGAGATGATCTTGGAACCAGCGTGCTGACATGGGAGAACTCTCAGGCGTGACAAAAAGGGCTTTGGAATGAGGGAAAAACTTTTGCCGCTTTTGGACAAATTGAAACATGGTGATAAACAGGCAAAAGGGGCCATCTGTACGATAGAAATAGAACATGGGCCTTTCCCTTTAGAATGTTTCAAAGATATTTTGTAATGATCGATGTGAAAACGAAGATCCGAAAGAGACAAATGTCGGGAAGGATCGAAACGACTATTAGTTGAAGTGAATTCACTTACTCTCAAGAAGCCATAGAAAACCAGAGAGAAAGTAGCTGATAAAAGAGACTTGACGTAGGAAGAGTAGGGGCTTAACGAAAGTGATGACAAAAGCCTCTTAAGGATAGGGAAGGTTATGGGATTACGTGAATCAAATACACGAGAAGAATGTTTTGCCAAACCTTTGAGAAGGAGCTTAATGGAGGGGTTTTTGAAAAGACTATGAGAATCAGGATTATGGCATTTTGAAAAGAAATTAATGCCAGCTAGTAAGCTGCCAATATAAGAAAGTTTAAAATTGCGTTTGTCGAAGCAGTACAAAATGAAAGCCAAAACAGATGTAATGAGTAACGGATATAAAGGGATGTGGAGACTCAAACAAAATTTGGCAAATTTGCCATTCGAAATTATAAGTTCTGAGGGTTGAGGGAGCTAAACCTGATTTATGTAGAAACTGGAGGAAAGTAAGTACGAACGAAGAGAGTAAGTTAATTACTTTTAAGGTGAATGCTGGAAGATGACTGGGTATCGAGGAGATGTAGCTTTAAGCGGATTGACTGCATCGGAGGCGGATCAGCCTCAGATTGAATGGAAGTAATCAGAGTTTCTTCAGTTGAATTTCGGCGAATTTACTAATTTCATTGGTGGATCAAATTATATACCTACTCAAATTAAGATTAAATACACATATTTTAAGGAATTTCTACTTATTTTTAGATAGTTCTTGCTGTGCAGGAGGTGGACCTGTACATTATTAAAAAACAGCAGAGTCATCACAGTCTAGAGCTGAAAGCTGATTATTAAAAACTGTAAGCAGAGCATTTTCTATTGCACCTTTCTTTCTGAAGTTGTTGGACAAAACATTACCTAAATAAACAAACAAATTCAATGAAGATGAATAAGGAGTGGCAGGACAATTACTGAAGAACAAGACGAGATGACAATGAAAGCAGGTAAGTTATTAGTTCGAGGGTAATGAGAAGCAGCTGAGGCAGAACGTAAGGAGGCTGGGGGAAGATGAAGAAGAAGACAAAAGGAAACAATTATGAGTAAAAGAGATGTGAGAAAAAAAATATCCAGAAATATACAGGAAAGAGAAAAGAAATATACTTAACCTATAGTAAGGGAATAAACTGATAAAGTTTACAACAAACTATGTAACATTAACAACAGAAAAATTATACAAAAATGAGACATACTGTAATAGAAACACAAATACCTAAAGTTCATAACATTGCTTGTTTTGTCCTCTTAGTTTAAATAGCCCTGTGTGAATAATACTGACTAATAACTCAATGCATCCCAGTTTCTGATAACTACAGTATATATAGTTAAAGTGCTCATATGCTAATGTTGAGGTTTGTTTATCTGTTAGTTGTCCGGAAAACATTGTGACTTTGTGTCACAGCAGGTAATTCCAGACTGATTACCAAATATGTTGTGACATAAATGCAACAAATGTAACTTCCCTAAAAAACAAGAACATTCAGGGCCTAAAAAAATAACCACCCTTAATTGTTTATTATATTTTCATCTGTTAGCATCAGTTTGCATTAATATCGATAACATTTCTAGTTAGATTTGTCTGTTCTTGACTTCAACTTTAATAAAAGTTATTGGGAAGAAATATCATATGTCCATATATTTGTAAAATGGGTGAAACCACCCCAAAAATCTTGGCTGAACGAACCCATGTTTTTTATCATGATGCTGAGCTTCAGTCAAAAGATACAGGCTGGCAACAAGAAAATTTAAATGTTTTACATATTGTTTTGTCCCCTTCTTAGTAAAATGCTGAAAAAAAGTGGGGACTCTTATCCAAATCTCTCGTTACTGCTATGCAGTATGATCTGAAGTGTGCTGACTGCCTTATATTTTTAATATTTTTGATACAAAAATTTATCTTAAAATTGATATATATCGATATATTTATATATGAACGACTTATGTTTCATTTTGAAATACCTTTTAGTGTTTACATTTGATTGTTGAACTGAACCTCTTATACAGTATGTGCCTTTAGTGCAGCTTAGTTTGGACAAAAGAAGTTTTAATTAAATTAAATTGAGTTTTACTAAACAAATAATCACAGTTTTGGCATCAGTGTGACCTCTGATTTCCCAGGAATGCCTTACGCCCACACATTTAGCAGTGGAATGGGATAAAAATACTTTTCCTTTTATGAAATCATCTGTACATCATTTGATTTCCTCAGATGTTGAGACATGTAGGGTGGAAAGAATCAGGAAGGACAAATGAGAGGCTGTACTTCTGCTTTTAGAGCTTAAATCTAAGTTCCCTTCAGAGGGCTTTCAGTTCAAAGATCCCTAGAGGGGAAGTGACTTTCTTTGCTTTTTCTTTATGAATTCATTTGGAGTAAGAATGGTCAACCGCATCTTGTTGAAGAGTGTGCTGCTCGCTGTAACCTTGATGGTCACTTCTGGAATTCCAGGTAAAGTCAAACCTAAACTCAACAAAGTTTGGAAGCATAAACGTACGTTTTCTTCATTTTTTAGGTTAAAACATTTTTGTCTTTGGTTCTTAGATAAGCTGTTTACTTGCTGTAAGAAAGTCAGCACCAGTGAGATAAAGGAACCAATATTAACATATCGGATCCAGCAGGCAGATCCTCCATGTGTTACTGCCATAATGTAAGTATGAGGAATATCTCTACTAGGGTTATCACGATACTAAACTTTTCAACTCGATAACGATACTAAGTAAAATATTCGATACTCGATACCCTTTTCGATACCACAAGAAAAAACACAAAGACTCTGAAATTCAACAGAAATATTTTCATTACTAAAAAAAAATACAAGAAATAAAGAAAAAAACAAAAATATTTTGAGGTTGTATGCTGTGCACAATATTAAGCAAGCTTGATAAAAAATTTACAAAATTAAAATTAAGTGTTAATTCCTTGGCTATGTTTTGCAGACATAACAATGACACTGGCCAAACCAGTTAAACAAAAATAATTCTCAGCAGCTGCACCTGTTACAAAAAAGTCTGAAACTGAAAAATGCACAGAATTATTCAATCACAGTGTTCAGAAAGTGCATTTTCCACTATTCTGCACTTTCGATGGCTGTATCGATACTTTTGAAAATGAGTATTGTATCCGGATACAACATTTCAGTATCGATACTTTTTTGAGTATCGATATTTTTGACAACCCTAATCTCTACCAATACCAACTCTGCATTAATTTGGATTTTAGTGATTCAGTTTAAACTATAACAAAGAAAATCAAAAGTAAACAATTTAAGGTGAAACGTAGTGTCTAATTTCATTCTCAATATCTTTCTATTCATTTATCAACAATGTAAAAACAACAGACCTATTCATCAGTTCACTTGTTATTTTTCTCCTGCAGATTTATTACAGAAAAGGACCATTACTGCATTTATATAAAGGCTCCATGGGTGAAACGGAAGGTTGCAGAGTTAAGGTGACTTTAGAAACAGGAGACACCAGCCTCAGCTTTTCTTTAAATCTTAAACTCGTGTTTTTTCACGAATGTTTTTTTCTCATTTCTCTAATAGAGCAAGAGCTTGGTTATCTACTCCTAAGGTGGTCAGCTCAACGCCTCTGTCACCATCATCTTCATTGCCATCGTCATCACCATCATCATCACCATCATCATCATCACCATCATCATCACCATCATCATCATCATCATCACCATCATCATCATCACCATCATCATCACCATCATCATCATCATCATCACCATCCTCCTTGCTCCTCTCCATCATTACATCCACCACTTCTCCTCCCTCATCGTCCGTAATGCTACCTAATTCCTCATCATCCCCATCATTCCTCTCTTCTTCTTCCTCCACCATTGCAACCAGTGAGACTTTGACTGGAACCACAGATGAGAAAAAACGAATCTCCTCCACAACCAGCTAAGAAAAAGGAAAAGCTAACGTGCTTGTCCATATCCAAACTGAAGTCAATCAGACTTAAAGAATAGAGCGATGCAAAAATGTTATTTGTTTCTTTTATGTTTAATAATAATATTTAGTAATCTCCCTGATCTGTACAGGTACATTAGTGAATGAAAACTATTAGTATATTTATTTTTAAAGTCAAACTTTGTAATTTATGCGAAAAATGTTAAGAGTTTTAAGTTGTTTTACCAATTACCCGTTAACTTTTAAGTAAATTTGTATGATATACAAACCTTATTTAGACAAATATCTCTGTGGTTATTATTTAATGTCTGTTTTTTGTCATCTTGAATGATTTTCTTCCTGCTAAAGCAAAAAATAAACAACAAAATCCATATAAAGCCTGCAGTTCAGTTTTATTGAATTGTTATAAAACTTGATACCTGTTGTGTGGGTTAACCAGAATTAAGTTTAATAATCATGGTAATATACATTTAAAACAAGAATATTTGCACATATAAACTGTATTAAAAAATATTGTTTTAATTTCGATAGTGAGATCAGATAGCTTGCTAAAGCCTAGATGATGTCATAACTGTGGGATGCTGATTCATTTTATGACATCAGAGACAGATCAAAATAAATAGGCAGAAGTAATGAGAAGAGAAGTAAGGATCTCGAAAGATCTGGCCTTTTTATACAATGATCATGTCGGTTCGATTCCTAGCCCAAGGTCTTTCTGCATGGAGTTTGCATGTTCTTCTTGAGCATGTGTGGGTTTTCTCCAGGTACTCCGGTTTCCTCCCACAGTCCAAAAACATGACTATAAGGTCAACTGGCTTCTCTAAATACCCCTTAGGGGTGAGTGTTTGTGTGAATGGTTGCTTGTCCTGTTTGTCTCTGTGTTGCCCTGCGATGGACTGGCAACCTGTCCAGGGTGGACCCCTCCTCTCACCCATTGACAGCTGGAGATAGACACCAGCACTCCTAATGACCGCAGCAGGGATAAAGCATGATGGATGGATATATGTATATGATAGATAGATAGACGTACGAAGCAACGTACGAAGCTTGACTGCAGTTTGCAAATAAAAACAAACACATTCATTTCCAGAGAAGTGTCCTGTATTTTAATAAAAATTAAATTCTAATGGTTATCTATATTGACTATTGTAATTTCAATCTGAAAAACCCACAGGGAAAGAAAGAGACAATTAGAAGAATTTTATTGATACAATTACTTAAAGACTTTGGTGCCAGGACCTCGGCAGGAAACAGTGCTGAATCATACTGTACCTGCATAAGCAGGTGTATGAGAACAGGGATGTTTCGCCCCGGGCCTGTTACTGGTGGTGGAGTGGAGAAAGATGAAGTTGGTTTAGTACATAGACTGCTGGTTGGTGAGACAATGTGCTTGAGCTGTACTGGACAGATCAAGTAGACTGTGTGAGCTGATGCTACTGCTTCACTCGGGACCTGAAAGATGGATGTCCAGCTTGGATAAACACAGGTTTGCATGAAGCTGTCCATGATGAGCAGGCATGAAGCGACAGTGGAGAGGAAAAACTGTGACTTGGGTAGAAACCTCTGGCAGAACCAGGCTCAAAATGGTGGCTTTCTGCCGGACCGATTGAGATGTGATGGGTATGCAATGAGAGTCCAGGAGGAATAACACTCTGATGGGGACACAGTAGAAGAAGCCCCATGGAAAAGTCAGATGAAGCTTTAGCTACGATGGTGAAGAAGGGGATAGAGGTGGGTTGAATCGGAGTGAAAATTAGACATAGCACATCCACTGCTTGTGCCTGACTGGGTAGCAGGCAGAGTCATTTGAAGACCTTTTAAAATGAACTCTGGATGCTGATTGGGCTTTATGGGGGGTGGGGTTTAAAGCTGATTGGTTTGCTTCAGAGGCACGTAATCTAGTTTCTTCAGTTGAACTTCTGCCTAGGCTTTATATTACAGCAAATATTAAAATGCTTGCAGGCCTAAGGCTAATCTAATGTGGGAAGTATATCAGTAGCAGCACTATAGTGGAGGGACTTGTACACCTCTGAAATTACGTTTTATGAAAATATTGAAACAGTTTTCCATTATTAATGCATTTTTAACTATTTTGGCTCATTGTCTTGAGTTCATAACTCTTTCGCATGAAAACAAACACAGACAGCTGCCTAATTTCTTTTTTATCTTAATACCTGCTATAGTTTATATTACATAGGAAATTTGGTAAGAATGTGTAAGATAACTGTTTTGAAACACCCTCTTTCTCCAGAGAAAGCTAGAAACAGAAGTTTGTGATTTCAAATCAATTTCAGTGGAGGAGTTTGAACCGGAAAATAAATCTTTGAGCTTTATTATCCTGTTACCGCAGAACTCCACCACGAACATTTAGGCTAATATCAAAAACACCAGATAGAAAAAAGGGGAAATGGGCCTAAAACTGTCTTGCAGTGAAAAGTCAGATATTCCTTCCCAATAGGGTTGGGAATTGATAAAATTTTCACGAATCGATCCCTTATCGATAATCTTATCGATTCTGTGAACAATGAACTTGGTAAGTGCACAGTGACATTCGTCTACCTTCGCCTGGGACAGTCTATTTCTGCCTGCCTCGGCGAAAACAGAAGGCAGTGAATGGGAGCTGCCAGCCTCTGAGTCAGCCAGGCTAACTGTCTTGTCACTGTCATCTAAATCTTATTGAGAAGGCATCAGTTTAGTTTTTTTGTTTTGCTTTTCTAGACTTACACCTGGTCACGTCGTACTTGCTTAATAAATGCAGTGTGCGTAACTTGCGTAAAAAATGTGACGTAACTTGCGTATAAAACGCTGCACAGCGCTAAGCAATGGTGCTGCCTAGAACCAATAAAAGAACTGTTAAGTGAGCTTCCAAACAGTGCCATGGAATTGGAGCACACAGAACCGGTTCTGAACAGAAACCGCTTTTCGATTCCAATCCCTAGTTCTCAATAATTTGCCTTATTTCAAACCATTACGATAAGCCAGATTTTTTAGCTCTGTTGTCATGTACTTATCTTATACAATTATGAGTGATCAGTGTCTGCAGACAGATGACTTCAGAGGAATGAATGGGGGAGAATTTGTGATAGAAAGGTCAAGTTAACAGGTGCTTTTAAAAGGGCCATATTAGGAAGCAGCAATAAACAGTCGAGTCATTTAGGAAAAATTGTATGTTTAACCACATACAAATGTCAGAGATAATTTTCTGAAACTGATTTAATCCTACTAATCCTCTTAAGAGGTTCATAAAAGCAACTTTTTTTCAGCAACGATTTAAAAAGTTCTTCGGGAGCAATATCTACACCGCAGTATTTCTGCAAAAATTACCACACTAGGAAGTACCCAAGGAAAAGTCCCTGATATGAAGAGGGTACTGTTTTATTTAGTAGGAAGTTTTAATTTTGTCTTAAGAATGAGATGATAAATTTGGAACTTGTTTAGTTATTTAAATATTGTGATTTCTCACAATTCAAATCCTTCCAAACGACCTAATATTTATTATTCTTAGCTGCAAAGTTGATAACAATACAGCGGATTACGATCCTGAAATGCTAACATCAAGTTCCTATTCCATAGGCAAGGCAAGGCATCACATCTGATGTAACTCAAAAAATAAACATATTCCTTTGGTAAGGTTCTTTCCACCAGGCCCCCAAAACAGCATTTATTAAACTGCTCTTGAGAAAGAGCACCTTGGATTAGGGGCTAGTGTAGAATTATAGGCCCATCTCATATCTTCCCTTTAACAGTAGGATCATTGAAAGGCTAAGCTCCATAAGTTAAACACCTTCCTAAAAATGACCAGCTGCTTCAAGATCTTCCAGTCAGGTTTCTATGTTCACCACAGTACAGAAGGTGTTGTCAAGGTGTACAAGAACATTAGTATAGACCGCGGAAGAACCACAGTGATGATTTTATTGGACCTTAGTGCAGAATTTGACTGCAAAACTAACTTCTTTCTGATATACAGCTGGACTGGTTTAAATGCTGCCTGAAGGAGAGGGACTTTTGTATTTAAGTAGGTAACTTTACATTAGAAATCATGAAATTCACATGTGGTGTTCCCCATATCTACATGCTCCCCCTAACTCAGATTTTATTGAACAACAGCATAAGTAACCATAACTATGCAGACGACACACAGCTGTACATTAGGATATAACCAGGTAACTATGAACTTATTCAAATGCTGAATACAAATGCTTTTATTGTAAAAATCTGGTTTGAAGAGCTAAAAAAATCACACTGATGACGTAGATGTCTCAAAACTCAGGTATCAAATATGATGCAGTTGTTATTGCAGGTTATCATGTAGCCTACTGCAATTTGAATTGTGCAGCTCCTGGCAGCTGCTATATGCTGTAGATAAAGTTGCCTAGCCTTGCAGGTTTTAGTTCCTGCATGAATTTCCTGGAAAAGTCCTTCCTTCAGCACCCCATATCCAATAGGGGTGGAACGATTCACAAAATCCATGGTTCGGTTCAATTCACGGTTTCGTGGACACGGTTTTCGGTTCGGTTCGATTCGGTATATGTTGATTGTTACACCGAAATCCCATAAAAATTTATGAAATTAATGAAAAAATCCCCCAAAAAATAATGGATTGTAATTATTTTAAATGATCCGCGGAAACCCTGGATCATTTCCGTATGTTTTGCTGCTTTGAATTTAATCATCTGGCGCATGCTCTCTAACATCTCCAAGGGACTCCGAGGGGAGCAGACGAAGCAACAATGGGGGCTGTAGGCTTTGCTTTGAGCAGCCGGTCTGGAGCGCAGCGGGGCGGAGCGGGGGTTGCTGACGGAGTATGTGGGATTTCGGGGTTAGCATGACATGTTGCTGTTAGCATAAACAGAGCGTGTTGCACAATGCTTGCACACTGTTTTTATCCACAACTTTCTTTCCGCCGTCATCGTAGGTCACTCTAAATGCAAAGTGGTTCCATACAGCAGACCTATAAAGTGCTGCTGGTGCGTCTTCCAACCCCTGTTCTTTCACACTCGCCATTCCGACACAATTCTCCACAACAACTGATTTTTTTCCCTGCTACACCCGGCTAAGCTGCTTCGCTTCTTCTTCTTATTGTTTACTACTGGTGGTTGGCTTTGGTTGCAGTACCGCCACCTTCTGCTCTGGAGTGTAAACGCTTCGCCTATGAGAAAAAGGAGCAGCGCATGAACCGAAGGAAACACACGCGAACCAAACCGAGACAGTCAAACCGAACGGTTCGGACGGTTTTCATAAATCGTCCCATCCCTAATATCCAATCACAACGCTGGAAGTTATCCGTGTTTCTGGAATGG